CACAGGTACAGAAAGCTGATGGTTTTCTGCAGGAGACTACATGTGTAGGCCTGCCCTGTCTACACAGGCAGCCCTTGTATCAAGCTTACCAGGTCAGCCTGGCCCTCTCTGTCCTATCTACTGCTCCCCCAAAGCTGTTGCAACCTCATTAAACCTCGTTGGGATTTTATTTTGCCTATTTGTAATTTCCATCTTGAGCAGGGTGGACTGAGCTGGCTACATTAGCTGCTGGTAACACTAAAGAATGTTGGCACTGAAAGTGACCAGCACCTGAAGCTAGTAACACTGTGGGTGGCTTCTGGCCAGAGATGACCAAGTATAAGGGAGAGCTGCTACCTCTGAGGGACGGAAAAGCCCTGGGAAGCTGCTGGGAGAGCAGCAAGTGTAGCTGCTAACATCAGGAGCTGAGAGCTGCTGGAATTCAAAGTGCAGAGCGGGTAACACTAGAGCAGCTGCACTAGGGGAGCTGCCCTTTGCTTATTCATGATTTCTATCTGACTTGAGCAAAGGAGCCCTTGGCTAATGGGTAGCAACACCCTTAGGCTACCCACCCCCGAGTGTGAGGGCAGGCTGTGGGGTGGCTGTTTGTGACTGTGGTTAGAGCCTGGGCCAGCAGGGTGGGGATGGAAGTACAGATCCACGAGGCACAAGACAGGGCCAGTGAAAAGAAGAGGTAAGTCCACAGCTAGGGTCCACAGTGGAGCAAAATCCCACAGATTCTGAGAATTCTGAGTTCCAGGCAGGTACAGCAGCCTGTGCACACAAGCAGGAGGGAAGGACATATTTGAGTCCACAGCTGGCAGACATCCTTTGCTCTTACAAACGTACACATGGGGTGTGGGTGCCTCCACTTGGCATTCACCTGGCTCACAAGTTAGGGATGGTCTGGTGCTCCTACCTCATCCCAGGCCCCTCCTTAGCCAAGATACACCACAGTCTGCTCATGAAGATAAAGCTCATGCTTCCTTGCTCCAGGTCTTCCCAGGCCAACTTCTGGCCTCCAAACAAAGCCCTCTGAGCTTGAGGGGGCTGCTGTACGAGTTTCTCTGGAGTGGGGAATGTGCCTGTGTGCTTTGCCCGTGCCCTGCTTCTGGTCCTCTTGGTGTCCTGTCTCGTCCTAAGCACTACAGAGGTGACCTGGCAGCTGCTCCCCTGGGCTCACGGTGCCTGTTGTCACTGATGCTCAGGGTGAAGCTCTGGGGAACTCCTTCGGAACTCATGCATACGCTCTAGACAGACGGGGACTTGGCACCATTGAGGCCAGCCTTGACCTGAGGTGGGGAGTCGACGGCCTCCTCTGAGGACAGGCAGACCAGGTGACTGCATAAGACAGGTGGTGCTGTTTTTCCTTTTTCTCTCTCTCCTCCCCAGAGTCCTACCTCCTGGGGTTCTTTTGGCTTTGCTTAGGGGAGCCCAGGCTAATACACTTTGTACAGAACTTTCTCATGAAGCATCCTTACCTTCCTTGCTTGCTGACCCCTGCCCAGTAATGGCCTCCTTTGGACAACTCTGGCCTCCAGCCTCCTTCCACTTTCTGCTCTCCCAAGGGGCCTGGTTTCCATTATCTTCACCCTCTACCCACCCCTAGCTGGCCTCAACTCCTCCATGGCTTGGGCTGCTTCCTTTATGCTGATGACTCCAACATGTTATCACAAAAGGAATCCCCAAAAAAGGGCTTTTGACACAATGTGCCTGGTCAAGATCATGTCCACAACATGGGTGAGTGGTTCAAGCCTCAAAACTGGGCAAGAGGAGCCAGGTAGAGTTCCACACTCAGCATTTTTGTTGTTCTCTTGACCACTTACTTCAGTGGCTGGGTTGAGCTTTGTCTGCAGTGGGCTTCAGGAGAGAGCCTCGGAGGCACAAAGCAGGATTTGGATGTGCCTGGAAGAGGCACAGGGCAAGAGATGAGCCTTGAGTTGCCCTCCCTCCCACTTGTCCCTTATTACAGAAGTGATACATTCATTGCAGAGTTCAGGACTCACAGAAAGCAAATAGGAACAAATAGATGATTCTCATCTTCCGAACACTCAGAAGAAACCATTGGACATTCTGGTGTGCATCTTTTCTCATCATTTGTGAAAATTATACTGTAATGAGGTTTTGTAGTCTTCCCTTTTGTTATAGTCAATTTGTATGATACAAATCCCTCAGATTTGTATATTCGTTCCAACCTTTTGTTTGGTGGCCCTTTTAGCTAAAAAAGTTTATCAACAACCATACTTATTAGAATGAAGATTTAGAATTGCAATCAGTAGGTGGAAGAACGCAAAATTTTAACCTTTGTGTGTGTGTGTGTAGTTAAGTAACAATCTAAAAGTTTGCCAGTTGACACTCAGTGAATACGTGATGGTGTTTATTTCTTCACATTGCATTTTCTTCTGTTATTAGGGAAGAGAACATTCTGCTGTGTTTACTGCTGTGTTCACTCTTTGTATTTCTGTGTCCTTGCCTCTGCCTGTTTTGCTTTTGGAATGCTCATCTTTGTCTCTCAGCTTTGAAAGCTCTCTTACCTGTGAAGAGCAGCCTTTATGACACACGATGCAAATGCTTCTCCCACTTGTCTGTTCTGATGAACAAACAGTTCTTCCTCCCTCCAAATTGGGGCCACGAATGCCTCTATATTCTTTAGAGGTAAACTTTCCTTGAGAAAGGCACAGCTCTTTTTGAGTTCTGATAGGTGTTTATCCCTGTGCAGTGCATACTCCAGTCCAGCAAAGCATCATTTCCTTCACTCCAGAAAGTTACTGCATGATCTTCTCCATCAACTCTCTGCCCACCCACACCAGAGAGAGAACCACTCACTAGACCTCTGTTCTCATGGGTTATTGGTTGTTTTCTGAATTTCATGCTAATAGACTCAGAGTGCATCTCTCCTAACTTCACTATGATGCTTCTGACATTCTATCAGTAAGTTTATTCTTTTAATTGCGGAGTAGTATTCCCTTGTATTTATTCCACAATTGTGGATTATCCATTTTCCCACTGACTGTACTCAATATTTTAATTAACTTAGTCAAATTATTGATATTTTCCTTTATTATTGATGTATTCTTTCTATTTCATCACCCAACAGAAGAGTCCACTGTTCTTGTTTTTCTAAACAATCAAATCTTTCCTCCATTTGGTAAGGCAGAGATCATTACTCCTTTCCCTCCAAATGATTAGTGGGTAGTCTTCCACTGCATATTCCACTGCTGACTTCAGAAGCCACTTTATTATATTTTTAAGTCCTTACAGGGGTGACATTAAAAATAGTAAACAACTGGTATGGCACAGCCTGGAAGGCTGCCCATCAACAACAGCTGGGGCGGCCTACTGTGTACATGCTGGCTGGATACCAGCCCTGAGTTCTTACGTTTGCTTAGGGCTCTCTCTTCACTATTATTTTCTATCCACGGAGGACAGCATTATTTTCATTATACAGCTAGATAATTCTATTTTCTGGAACACAGTTTCTCTTTCTTCACTCTTTTCACTGGTCAGATGCTTATTCTCCCAGAGAAACTATCCCATTTTATCAATTCCCAAGAAGTTCTAATGGGGACTCAGTTACTAATGTGTTCTCTGGCTAACATCTTTGAGGACTTCCACCCTGTGTTCTAATGCATATGAAGTGCTTGACCTAATGCCTACCTCTTGTTCCATGCCCAGTACTGTTATTGTACACTTATTTTATAGCTGGCCATTTTGGTGGACCTCTAATTGCAGATATTGAGCCTTTGTCTTCACGTCTAAGGACTGGTTTAACACTGGGACTTATCTTTTAAGGTTGGGACTCTGTGTAAAGTACTCATAGGAAGCCCCACGTCCATGTTCCCTGGTGTTGGTGCAGTAACTCTGCCTTCTTATACCCTGCTCACAGCACTAAGACCCTCCTATGCATGGAGCTCCTGGTTCTGGCTGTGGATAGGTCTGACAGACATATTGTCCCAGGTCCCTCTCCAGAAAAGGCAGGTGGGGTTCTTGCAGCCATTCACAGGTGCCCACTTTCCTGCAGAGCCTGTGAGGACTCCAGGGGAGTCAAACTCTGTCCTTTACATTAATTCTATCTAGGATCACATTCTCTGTGACCTTTTGGCTCAGGCATGCATCTGTCCCTTCTTGTAAAGTCAATTCTATTAGAGCTATGTGCAGGATTTTATAGTCTCCTGATCACTGCATTTTTAGATACTCCTTTTGAACAACTGTGAACCTTCATTTTTGTCATCTAAATGTTAGCCGGCTGTCCTTTCTGCCCTGAAAGCTGATCGGGTACCTTTTCCAGCAGCAGCTGCAAGATTATTCCTTAACAGTGGTCATCTTCATCTTTCTCCTCCATTTCAAAATTCTGTAACTTGTTTTTTGGTTCAAAGTTAATCTCTAGCAGAGCGTTTCTTGTAACAAGCAAAATTTTCGGATCGTTACTTATTTTGGATATATTTAAAATAATGCCAAGTTGCGTGTTTTGTTTTGCAAACTCTTTGTACCCACATAGCTACGGTCTTCCCTGGAGTCACTAGTCAAGAATGTTATTAAATGGAATCCCTCTGTTTAACTCCCAAAGGGCAAGACCTACACAGCCCTGCGGCCTGACATCCCAGCCACTGTCAGAGAGGCAAAGGGCGCTACTGTTTCCTGGAAGGTCGGGCTCCGAAACCCTGGAGAAGTCGTGCCGCGCTCCCGAGGGACGCATAGGGACCTGGGCAGCAAGCAGGTGGCCTGCAGACGCTCATTCACACCCTTTCTCCGACCCGGGGCAACAAAGGCGCGCGCCCCCAGCTTGCAGAGGGCCCAGCGCGGCCGGACAGGGACCTGCACCCTCAGTGCGCTCCCAGTACTCGGGGGAGTGGTCGCGTGGCTAGCCTGCCCCACGCTGCCAGAATAGCGGCCTCGCTACCCTCCGACTGGCCAGATAGCTCTCTACCCAAACCCTAACCGCGCGCCTGCCGCGGGGCAGGGCGGGGCTCGCTGCGCCTGCGCACTCGGTCCTCCGCCCTGCGTCCCGGCACGCAGTCCACGTGACCCGTGCCCGAGTCCAAGATGGAGGCTGCTGCCCGGCCTGGCCGGCCTCCTGTCCCAGCCTGAGCCCTCTGCGCGACCTCCGAGGGCGAACCAGGCGTGCAGACACGCAGGGCCGATAGCTAGCACCGCCAAGGGCTGCTGAGAGAGCCTGGCCTCAGCCGGAGCCCAGCTTCCAGTCAGTACCCGCCCCGGCTCCATCCGCTTTCTCTACCGCGAAGCGCAGGGCTGTGGCGCCGGGAGCATCCTCCGGTATTCCCCGCCCCCGGAACTGACAGCGCTGGGCGCCAATGGGGTCCGTGATATGTGCGGGGGGGCGGGTGGAGGCGGAGCCTCTCTATGGCGCCCGGGGCGTCGGGCCGGCGGTTGGGCGGCCATGGGGCGGGAGTAGACCCCTGCAACCCAATGGAAGGGCGACTGAGCGCTCAGGGAGGCGGGCATGGGCGGGGCCGAGCCGTAATTGACGCGCTCTTCATTAGAAACCAGTCGGGGGCGGGGCCCACAAGGGGAGGTGACGCAAGGCCGCAGCGGCC